CGTGTCTGCTCAGGCTTGACCGGTTTAGGTTCACCGGATGTGATCTTGTCGAAGGAGCGGAAGACTGCAACCCTTCGGGACTTTTAGGAGTCGATGACGGTAACTTAACGGCCGCAAACAAGTACTGATCCTGACGGAGAACTGTACAGTACAGTACACTAAGGTAAAGTACTTACAGTACTTACAGACAGCTGCTCCGGGGAGAGTGCAGGGCCGCAGGCAGAAGTCGTTCCTCCGTCCAGGCTCCTTCGGCTGATGATTTGTCCTCCTCCGACTGGATGAAGTTCAATGGCTCATCTTGCAGGAGTGGTTTGTCCCCGGGCCTGCCACTGCAGCACCCGTTACAGGCTACTGCACCTCGGTAGACAGAATGTGGAAGGACTTGTGGTGGAGCAGACTGCTCCGCGCAAATGGTCTGATTCTCACATCCCTAAGTGACTTGCTCGGTCTACACTACATAGTTACTTGGTACGCACAGTCTCTCTACACCGAGTCTCTCTCCCGCACGGGTCGAACGACTACTGAAGGAATGCTTGCTTGACTATACAGCTCATCAACTACCCCACCATCCTGGAATTACTCCTGAGTGAGTGAGTAGACTGACCTTCACCTAGCCTCACCCCAACTATACAAGAATACAAGAACAGTTCCACAAATAATTACTCATCCGATGGATTAGAGCAATTCCACGGAATCTACTGTGTATGCATACATATATAGTACAGATATTGCAGCTTCTGTAGACACAGATGATGGCCATTGCCACTGTCCTTTGAGCTGCAGACGGAGGAATCGCTACTTGCGCGGATCTCACTCTAAGAGTCATGGACGTTGATCACAAGGGCGTTACTGGGTGTGACTATTAAATCTTGTGTAGATTTAGCACATACCTGGCTCTTGTAGTTCGAAGCTATTGGCTGTGGAGGTACAGTGCTGTACCTACCTAGTGTCTAGTAACCCAGAAGCATCAAATAGTTGCTTCATAATCAACGAGCTACTCCGTAGTCTGTACAGAGTATGTGTAGTCAATTGGCAAGCTAGGTCGAGAAAACCTACTGAATCAATTGTATAGTCCCGGTTCTGTGCCATTGTAGGCCAGTGTTTAGAATGTCGGAATACAGCGGCAGACTCGAACAGGTAAGCCTTCCCCGCACGCGGAGACTCACTCCTCTTCCGCCATTGATTGTTGTTTTTTCTCGGTTTCCCCTTGCAAATGTCACTCATTAGCATCCACATACACAGCACGGAAACAAGTCGCGCAACAAGGCATTTCGCGCCCTGTCGCAGATAGTGCGCCTTCTGTCTAGCCTCAAGACTACAGCGAAGCACACCTAGCTGCGCCATTATTCCGGCCAGCCAACACAGCAACACGCATATTCCACCCGAACGGCCTGGCTGGATACAAACAAACGCAATGCTCTCTCTTCCCCTCATTACCCCCCGCGATGTACGTCATCTCTGCCTTGAAGATAGATGACTTCCAAAGGCCAGTTGACCTCATGCAATTTCTCGTCTCTAACAAACCATCTTAGTCCCACGAGCTCTGGTTCGGTTCGTCTCAACCTTACCGCTCCTCATCCTCCACGTCCGCGACACCTAATCACTCCCACCACCACCATCACCCGGGAGAACCCCACGGCCCCAATCGCCGCAATGGTAGCAACCACCCCAACACCGGACGCGGCCTCTCTGCCTCCTCTGGCAACATGCTCTCATCCCTTCTCCTCGAGGAACGAGCCCTCCGCGCTCGCAAGAACAACATCGCCTCGTTCGGATACTCGTGGATCAAACCGGCCGGCTGTCCAAAGACGATGCTGGGGATGAAAGAGGAGGAAGCGGAACGCGAGGAGGCTCTGGCGGCCGCGGCCGCGGAGATGGCAGCTGCGGCTGCCGCCGCCGAGGCGGGCATGGATGACTTTGGGGGCCAGACGCAGGATACAATGGACGGAGAGGGGATGCAGGACGATACGGGAATGGAAAGAGACTTGGATGACGATATCCCTGACGCTGATGCAGACGGTCTAGTCGAGGAAGGGGAAGAAGGTCTGGAGGAGGAAGGTGTTGTGGACGAGGATGAGGAGGGATACATGGAACGCGATCTGGATGATGACATTCCCGAGGCCTTTTCTGGCTACGATGACGACGATGAGGAAGATTTGGACGAGGAGAACGAGGGTTTCGACGATCAACCAGACCTGGACGCTGACATCCCGAGTGCGGCGGAGGAAGGCTACGATGATGATGATGATGACGACGATATGAGCGAAAACGGAGCCATGGGCCGTGATCTGGACGATGATATTCCCGAGGCTGATAACGATCACTATGCACAGGGAGAGGAAGAGGAATGGCAACATACGGATACCGACGCCGAATTTGACGATGAAGAGGATGTCAGCTTCGCGCAGGATCCCTTTACGCAAAGTCTTCGCGCGAGTACGAGCAGTCGTGGTGGCTTGCCTCCGGTGCCAATGCGACGAGAGCGAGAGACAGAGGCCCAGCGAAGGTTCTTGCAGCGGTGGAGTGGTGGCGGAGATGCTTTTGACACCAGCAGCATGCTTGTAGACGAAGAAGATCTACGAGCGTCGATAGCCAGCCAGGCCAGTCGGAGGAGTGTTTTCAGCCGGTTTCCTCGTCGTCGAATGGGAGGCCCCAGAGACAGCCTCGAATAAAGTTCTACCTCTGCATTGTTGCAGTCTGGTGTTTGAGTGTATCAACATGTGCGGTGTGTATGAAGGCCGTTTTTCTTTCTCCTGGTGGAGGGTGGAAATCATGGCAGTCAATCTGGCTCAAACCGGGGAATGAGTAGGTCAAGTATGTACTAGTAGATTGTAGAAGAGCTAGGCGCATGATCAAAATTACTGTTTCCAGACGGTATATATGGTTATCAGTCGCTATAGAGATACCCATTTCATGTCATACTATCACATTTTAGAGCAGGAAATTCCACCGTTAACAATACTCTATAGTTCAGGTGCTTTCTTACATGAACCATGTTGCTTAAGTAGGTGTGATTCCCCTGTGCAGCTGCTCAGTGGAAAGTGAGTGGCCGGGGCTACCCCAAAGTGCCAACAAGCTCAATCTTTGTGCTATAAAGATGAGAAGATAGCCAGGTAGGCGCAGTAATGACCATAGCCCTATGCATAGATTATATACACATCTCATTGTACACTGATAACCAAAAGCATCGAGGTTTCACTCGCTCGTTACATTGGAGGCCATAAGCAGCCTAGAGACAAAACTCCGGATATGCACTGTCATAGCGAAAAAAGAAGCTCGACAGAAGAACGAGACAGCAAGAATCATTATACATTTGCCATAAGAAGCGAGTGCCAAGGTCTGCAGGTTAGACAATTATTTGCAGTGCTATCCGAATGGCCAGTCTTCTAATTGAGAACGCCGTGGTGCACGAATCATGTTGGCCGGGAAGAGAAGATAATTAGGTAGTATAAGGAAAGCGCATCGGCCAAACACAGGGGGCGTCGAATGAAGCGCATGCTGAGCGAGAACAAAAGTTCGTAGCACAAGCGGAGATACCGCACTTGGGTTCTGATGTTCGGGAAATGTTGGGAGCGAGTGGTTCTGAGAAGCGTGCCTGCGCCCGTCGACTAGGTTATCCACACATACGCGAATAGCAAAAAGACAGCCAGGAAGAAGGCCAGCCAGACTCGCCAGCCCACACCGGTGCGCTCCGCCATTCGCAGCATACGGGTCATGTTACCGCGGAGACGCACTCTAGTGTTCTCGAAAGTGTTGTTGAGGTCGGAAATCGCCGAGGTATCCCGGATCTCATCGCCGATGGCGACAGTAAGCTGGAAGCGAGCAATTAGTGTCACCTGCCTGGATCGAATTGCCTGCATCCTTACATCTTTCAACATCTTGACCTTTGCACTGATTCCTTCCACCTCTGCATCGTTCTGCGACTCCAAATGGTCGAGAACAGCATCCGAGTAATGGCCTCTACAAGCCGGAAGATGTAAGCCAGTTGCACACTCGAGGGGGGACCCCGAAATGCCCGTCTTTTGTTTGAGATGCGGACAACTCACTTCTTGTTCGGAGTTGCTGTCCTGTATCCTCCTGTAGGCCCGCCAGTCCCCAAGCCCTCGCCAGCCGGTGGAGTGTAGCCTCCGTATCCGTATCCTCCTATGCGGCCAGGAGATCGACTGGCCGGCCGAGAATCGCCGCCATAAGAGTCGAAAAGGGAAGACGAGGCGCGGGGATCGCGTTGATGAAGAGTTGAACGTGGGAATCTAGTGACGCATGATTAGTTCCATTACTACTACTGATGCGGATGAAGATGGCATGGTCATACCGTGAGGCCATAACGAGTCGTTTCGTAGTCGTGGGCGGGTGAGGTCGATAAAGGGAATTATTTCAACAGCTCATGCAACTTAGCTGGCAAGCATTTTCGATAAGTATTATGGGACGCTCTCGACCAGTTCCAGCCTGTCTGAATGGCTAGGGAGCTGACGGGTCTGTCATGCGACGGGGTATTGCAAGTCGGTTGCGGCGATCGACTCGGCGAAACACGCTGGCTGCTAGCCGGGCCTCTCTGCTCGGGCGGAGACGCCTCCGGCACGTGAGCCAGCCTACATGTTCAGCGTTACTGAACAGCTCCTGCTGTTGATCCTTGAATATGCGATTGGTTTATGATTTCCTTTCATTACTGCAATCAATGCAATTATCCTCTCACTATTCGACCGGACTGTAGTTTATGCTAAAACAACCGCGAGGCGAGATCTGTAAACTCATGTTGGCTCCGATGAAGTGTGCATGCAACATAAATAGCAAAGATCTTTGCGCGGACAGACACAGAAACATTTGTAGAATATTCTTTTATCCCAAGCCAGGAAAAAAGCCAGCATTGATTAAATAGCAAAATAATCCCCGACGTTAACGAATCCGATGAAGACCCCCAAAATCCTGCCTGCGCCTGTCAACCAATTGCCCGTTCACACTCGCCGCCCCTATGTTAATGGTGGTATGATAGTCTCGTCCTAGTCATTAAGAGATCGTGCATTTCAGCCGCGCATGACGGTATCCTCATCATCTTCCCCACCCTCATAATCCTCATCGTCGTCCTCCTCGTCGTCGTCCATCATGTTATCGGCCTTTAGCTTCTCGGCTGCCGCCTGATAATCAACGATCTTGCCGCGAGTACGACGGCCACCCGAGATGATGTTGTCTTCAGATATGGGCTCGAGGTTATCGCCGTCATCATCATTATCTGCCGGGAAGGTTATAGGGTTAGCCTGGCACTAATTGTGATGCTGTAGCTCATTGCATATCATACCGTCTTCAGCCTGTGTACCATCGCGAGAAAATTGGTTAGTTTCGCAAGTCAGATAATGTTGTCAGGATGGGGATTGCCGTACCATCTCCTCGTTCTCGCTCTCGTCGCTATCCTCCTCCTCTAGGTTTTCGTCGTGGGTAGGCTCGGTAGCCCGGCCCTTGCCCTTGTCCAGAGCAGCGGCATCGGGGGCGTTGGCGGCGCGGTCGTAGCCGGGAGTAGTGGCCTGGTTGCTGTCACCCATGATGAAAAGTTCTCGGTTCTAGGGCGAAGGGTCGGAAATGGATTAGGATGTATGAGTGCGCAAAGGTAATGAAGAGAGAAAGGAATTACAGAAGGATGGTCCAAAGCAGAGATTTTAGGGATGTGTTGCAGGCGCAAGGGAGATTCAGCTCAACCGTCCCCGGAGCGGTGGTTGCCCAGGGCGGCACACCTGCGGCTCCCGTGACTGGGAACTGAGGATTGAGGCGCCCACCACCTTATGCATAACAAACATGTTACCTAACTGAACCCCCAGCCTAGCGGAATTACTCAGTAACTTATCCCAATCCTCTAGAGACTCACGATGGTCTTCTTTTCTATGTTCAAATATAGTTATGATAGATGTGCCATGCCTTGCTACACTTCGACTTTTGCTCTTGGTAGCTCCAGGTCATAGAAAACAGGTGTAACATCGATAATATAGTACAACTCCGATCAACCATCATGTTTTTCGTTTGAGTTTCCAACGCCTCGTCTCTTCCGCTTCCCCTTGCTGCTGTTCATATAGCCTCCTCATAGTAGATATCTTTCTACTAACCAAGGCTTTATCCACATTTCCACCCCACAAATAAACGAAAGAATAAATGTGGGTTGCATCCAGGCGCTTTCACAAAATCACGAGCAAAAGGAAACGTTTCATCATAGACGTTGAACGGCTGGCAAGCACTCATGCACAAGTCAGAGACTGACCTTATTGCATTAACCAATGGTCCATAATGCGTTGACATGAGGGATGCCCGTTCCACTCTCAAAACACTTCCTTTATCGTCTTGATAGGCTCAGCCTCTCCACTAGAACCATTAGACCGATAAGTCTACGTTCGAAGAGGGCGAATACCTTCGCAGATCTGATTGAGCTGTGCCGCAAGCTGAGCATGACATTTGCAGTCTCTGTTCAGCAATGCAACAGATAGCACATCCGAGAATTATCAGCGAAGGCGCCTGACAAAATTTGAATATATCGTTGCCTTTTACAGCCTGGATGTATGATCCGATGCTTTTCGAGTCTTGAAGCTTGGTTTATGCTGGGAAAGCATTAGATGATTGTTCTTGGATCTTCTCTGGTTTGGAAGTACTTACCTGAATATCTGATCCAGTTATGGAACGCTTCCATCGGACTCGCATGTCTGATTCCAATTGGCGCAGATTTTGCAGACTTGGGCCTTTGTCAGAACACGGCGGATAGTGAATCAATAAGACAAAGCATAACGGATCGATAAGAAAAGGCACCGAGCTGGAAATTACTTCCAAGCTGCACATATGCAGCGCAGACATGCCTTATTCATGCCATCGAATGCCGGTGCTTAGTTCGGCTAAGCTTCGCAGATGTCAGGACAAAAGAACGACAAGTATGTGGAGGCTGAAAGACATAAGCGACATACAGAGACAACTTGGCAAAGCCGCAACAGCTGAGCTTCCAGCGTTGCCGAAATCAAGCGGGATGCTTTAGATATTTGAACTCGGAACCCGAATGGTAACTTGGGCCAAATCCACAAGCTATATAGATTGTGGAGCAGAGGAAACCCCCCGAGCCCCTTCTGAAGCAGCGATAACCAATCGGTCCCAAAGGAGATACACACGCATAGCTATGGCCGATGGTAGGATGTGTTGTGTACTGGTAAAATATTCTTTCTTCTCCGAGCAAATGCTCTTGTTGAAACCTACTATGATTGCTATGGTCTGCTGGAGACGTCCTCGCTGCGTTCGACATACTTCTTACTGATATAGCAGAAATACAAACCCGGGATGGAGGCACACGCAACATTGGCTACTGAGGGAGTTGCTTACAATAAATAAGGCTACATGAATTAGTTTCAGGACACATAAACTGGCTGTTACCATATAACAGGCCACGGCACGAGCGCAGACAACGGGCCAAAGATCTAGACAATAAAGAGAACAGTGTTGGCCGTCATGATGACGGACTATATTCTGTTCAATTCCATGGGTGAGATTGTCTGATCAGACATTGTACTCATGGAAAGACCCTTACTATCAGCTATTAACGTTAACTGTGTCCCGCTCTAATCCGGCATTGTTGAATCCAATCCATACACAGAGAGTAGCTACGGTGTAGAGTATGTACCTTCTAAAAGCCAGAGTAACAAAATTTGTCTGAACACATGCGAATGTATATGTGGGCATAATCATGTAATACTCAGTAACTATCTAGTAATAGCTCTTTACTCAATGCACTCACTCATATTCACTCATCAGACTCATGAGTCAGAACAAGAGAACGAAAGAAAAAAGTCTGAACGAAGATTAGATTACATCACCCAGTCCGCTGGGTACCCCGCCAACCGCCGCCCGAAAAGCCTGGCAGAAAAACTTGAAACACCCCTCCTCGCCCAAAAATGGAAGCCTCTTCTCCTTTCCACCAAAGTTCCATCAGTTCCGCCAAACGTCACCTGTCTATAGTTATAGTATCGTCTAGTCTATACCGTGTTTGTTAAGGACCCTGTCAGGGCCACTAAGTAATGAAGTAGTAGCTTGTCGTAGCTTGTAGTTTAATCTAGCAGCAACGAGGATCATCCCATACATTCTTTCCCTTTGATTAGTCCTTTATCGAATGGCCCAGAACTGCAGGCGGTTTTCTCGAAGCTGGCGATGGAGCGGGTGGAAGACCATCGAACCCCATGGATACCCGTCGAACCGCCGCTTGCTAGAAACTTCGCTGGAGTTGCCATTTCACCGCCCGCCACTATATCAACGTTGCCAGTCGCACATTTTCTCTGCTCCATTCATCCATTTTCTAAACACGCAACTACTACTCTCTACTACTCCCATTTCCTCCTACCCTTTTTTCTTTACCACGCTCTAAGTCTCTTATACCCTTTCTCGAGGCTTTTTGTACATTACGATAATCTTGTTTAACGAATTCCCCCTACTACACACATCACATCACACATCATGGCCCCCGCTGTCGGTATCGATTTGGGAACCACCTACTCCTGCGTGGGTGTCTTCCGTGATGACCGTATCGAAATCATCGCCAACGACCAGGGTAACCGCACCACCCCCTCTTTCGTGGCCTTCACCGACACCGAGCGTTTGATCGGTGATGCCGCCAAGAACCAGGTTGCCATGAACCCTCACAACACCGTCTTCGATGCTAAGCGTCTGATCGGTCGTCGTTTCGCCGATGCCGAGGTCCAGTCCGACATGAAGCACTGGCCCTTCAAGGTCGTTGACGACAAGGCTGGCAAGCCCATCGTTGAGGTTGAGTTCAAGGGCGAGACCAAGCAGTTCACCCCCGAGGAGATCTCTTCCATGATCCTCACCAAGATGCGCGAGACCGCTGAGTCTTACCTCGGTGGTACCGTCAACAACGCCGTCATCACTGTCCCCGCTTACTTCAACGACTCCCAGCGTCAGGCCACCAAGGATGCTGGTCTCATCGCCGGCTTGAACGTTCTCCGTATCATTAACGAGCCCACCGCTGCTGCCATTGCCTACGGTCTCGACAAGAAGACCGAGGGTGAGCGCAACGTCCTCATCTTCGACCTGGGTGGTGGTACCTTCGATGTCTCCCTCCTTACCATCGAGGAGGGTATCTTCGAGGTCAAGGCCACCGCCGGTGACACTCACTTGGGTGGTGAGGACTTCGATAACCGCCTTGTGAACCACTTCGTTACCGAATTCAAACGCAAGCATAAAAAGTTCGGAAGCCTTTTTTCCCTTTTAAAACTTGGATTTTGTGCTAACGCTCACTTAGGGATTTGACTACCAATGCTCGTGCTCTCCGCCGTCTCCGCACTGCTTGCGAGCGTGCCAAGCGTACTCTCTCTTCCGCTGCCCAGACCTCCATTGAGATCGACTCTCTCTTCGAGGGTATCGACTTCTACACCTCGATCACCCGTGCTCGTTTCGAGGAGCTCTGCCAGGACCTCTTCCGCTCCACCATGGAGCCCGTTGAGCGTGTCCTCCGCGACGCCAAGATCGACAAGGCCTCCGTCCACGAGATCGTCCTCGTCGGTGGTTCCACCCGTATCCCCAAGATCCAGCGCCTTGTCTCCGACTTCTTCAACAAGGAGGCTAACAAGTCCATCAACCCCGATGAGGCCGTTGCCTACGGTGCTGCTGTCCAGGCTGCTATCCTGTCTGGTGACACTTCCTCCAAGTCCACCAACGAGATCCTCCTGCTCGACGTTGCCCCTCTCTCCCTTGGTATCGAGACCGCTGGTGGTGTCATGACTGCTCTTATCAAGCGCAACACCACCATCCCCACCAAGAAGTCCGAGACCTTCTCCACCTACTCCGACAACCAGCCCGGTGTCTTGATCCAGGTCTATGAGGGTGAGCGTGCTCGCACCAAGGACAACAACCTCCTTGGCAAGTTCGAGCTTACCGGCATTCCTCCCGCCCCCCGTGGTGTTCCCCAGATTGAGGTCACCTTTGATCTCGATGCCAACGGTATAATGAACGTCTCTGCCATTGAGAAGGGTACCGGTAAGACCAACAAGATCACCATCACCAACGACAAGGGTCGTCTCTCCAAGGAGGAGATCGAGCGCATGCTTGCCGATGCCGAGAAGTTCAAGGCCGAGGATGAGGCCGAGGCTTCCCGTATCCAGGCTAAGAACGGTCTTGAGTCCTACGCCTACTCCCTCAAGAACACTCTCGGCGAGGGCAAGCTCACCATCAGCGATGCCGACAAGGAGAAGGTCAACGCCAAGATCGACGAGACCATCAGCTGGCTCGACTCCAACCAGACCGCCACCAAGGAGGAGTACGAGTCCCAGCAGAAGGAGCTTGAGGGTGTTGCCAACCCCATCATCTCCGCTGCCTACGGTGCCGCTGGTGGTGCCCCTGGCGGTGCCGCTCCCGGCGCCACCCGCACTGCTGACGACGTCGAGGAGGGCCCCGAGGAGCTTGACTAAATGCCTCAACTTTCAGTTTTGCTTTTAGTTCTTACTACCCATGGCTGTTCATTGGCTAAGTTTTTCTTTATTTGCATGTTCTAATCTTCATGTCTTCTGTTTTCTTTAACGAAATTATGGGATCCTTTTCTTGTGCATGATTGCATAGATTCGAGGTTTAGTCTTCACTGCATGATGATTTACTCTGCAGTAATCAGGAGGGAAAAGTTTCCTTTCGACGAATACAATAAATTTCTAATAACCTTGTCCTTCATCCTTTCGCTCTTAGTAGTAAAACTGCTTTGGTAAGCTCTAGCCGTAATAAGACTTGTGGATCTTGAGTCAGAACCAGGCGTAGGACTCGAGACTGTTTGTACTTTGTAGCCTAGATTCGGGAAGCCTCGGCCTTATCCTCGGCCTTTAACTTCTCGGCATCGGCAAGCATGCGCTCAATCTCCTTGGAGAGACGACTCTTGACGTTGGTGATGGTGAGATTTTCACACAAAGATTGTAAAGTTATTAAGCATTATTTATGGTGCTCTTAGAGTGATAGTTCAACTCTTCTCTTAGGCGTTCAAGCATATCACCCTAGCTTAATTATCCTAATAAAAGCTACAGTCTAATGAGTAATGCAACCATATCATCACTTGTGCTGATTTCTGCATGTTGACAATAGTCAAGATCCCTATAATTATTCCAATGCGATTTCACGACATATGGATGTTATACTATACATTAATAGTCAGGGTATAGAGGCAGCCTATCGACCCTCATTATATTTCTTTAAGATTAAGCCAATCATGGGGTTGCTGTTGTTACCTAGCTGGAGGCGATCAGACATGGTACAGTACTTTCCTGAGCAGCCTGGGTGCTCCGGTCAATACTAATCCTCCCCTACTGTTCAAGAGTCTATGAATTACACCGGCAAATTTCATGTATAAGTTACCCATACATAGTATAACCACCACAGCAGTAGACAAAAAGCCCAGGATGTATAAATCAATCAATTCCCCTCAACGCCACACAGTTATCCACCAACACATACTTTTATATACAAATCATCAACCAGAGGCAATAGTCTGACTGATGATGTCAGAAGAGGAATGAACCACTTTCGAACCTCCTTCCTTCCCCACAAACTCAGCCCGAATCCGATCGATCAGCGCTTGCTGCCTGCCCCCTCCCTCTCAACAACCCCCCCAGAACCATCAAGAAAACACCCATCATCTCCACGGCGAGAAAAGTCCTGGAGCCATGGATAGGCAGACAGGAAACCGTACAACATGTCCCAAACAAGACAAGATCCCACGAGGATATTGCCTGCGAGCCATCACAGCCCTGCGAAATCGCCCGCCCACCAGCGTTGTACCCGACTCGCCCCCAGCTGCACCACACTCCCGATCCCGATGTCCTTGGCTCGCTCGGGGAATTTCTCGCGCTGTTCGCGCTGGATGCGCAGGAGGGCGGCGGTGGTGCCTATCGCGAACGCGAAGATAGGATCTGCGGCTCTATTTTTTTGGGTACAAAGAACGAGGATATTTTTAGTTTGCGATCGGATCTTTCAGTCTCAAAGTGTCGTGGATCAAACTTGCGATTGGGTGATGTGGGGTTGGGAGTTTGGGCTCAGAGCTGGAGAACGGGAAAGAGGGGATGATGGGGAGCGCGGATTGTGTTTAGGGTGCTGCTTCTTGGGTAGACATGGAATGGGGGGGTTGAGATGGGTGAAGCACTGGGACATACTTGGAGATTAGGTAGATAGGCATTGTAAAGGCTGCGTTGGTGTCGATGATGGTAGTGGTTTGGGTGGTCCACGTAGAGGTGGTGGAGTTAATACGGAAATTAGAAAGTTCCGGGCTTTGTCGCGTGTAACTGCGGAGCACCTCATGCATAGCATAGCATTCCACTTATTGCGGCGGTGAGGTGGAACTTCAAGGAGCTTCCCGAGGCCCAGGTTCTAGAGTATAAACATGGAAGGGACCTAACGTTACCATCCTCCCTCGATGTATCTATTACCTACATCTGCCATGTAAACAGTCTCTATGATGCTGGATGATCTGTCTTTTATTTCCAATGTGTTAACTCTGTAGCGCAGAGCCACTCGAATCATCAGCCGTCGATGTAGAACCACCCCCTCCTATCTGTCTCACCCAAGGAGGGTGGACATCACAGCTCCAAATATAGACTTTCTCTGTGTGGCCATTCCTAGTAACTCTTGTATCCTGTAAGATAATAGTAAGCATCTCACATTCTGCAGAATAAATATTGCTGTAGAAATCTCGAAGAAGATGATGTTCTAGCTTAAGCCGAGCGAAGCATACAGAACGAGTTAACTGGTTGTTTTTCGATCAATCATTGACTCACTGGCCAATTTGAATGACAGGGCCTAGAATTTCGAGTCTGAGAGTCTGTCCTGCTTGGCAAATACGGACACACTATCAATCAGCTATAACTCCAGGTACACAGACAGGTTCCTCCTAACTAACCAGAGGCATTGTCGAAGTGCCCTTCGCGGGCCCTGCAGGGCCTATTCATACAGCCGGTTAAACCCCTTTATAAACATTCTTATATTCATATATATTGATCAAAAGAAGACTTATACATTGGCTCAGACGTATGGTCGAAATTTGCAGCTGGGGAGGCTTTGCATCGCCCCTCCCCCAGATTCCTCTCCGCCGTCCATCTCAGCACAAGCCATAATACCAAAGCACTACAACTTTAAGGAGCCAATTGAGCCAGTTATTTAGACACGAAGCTTCAGTGAACTAGCGTTCATCATCCTTGCCCAGGCCCTCCTAGGGATGCGAATTTACTTACCACTTCAGAAATAAGTTATGCCCAGTACCATAGACAGGCACGAATGATCGTGCGTGTCGGCGCCAACTAGATTAGGCCGCGAACCCTACAGAAACATGCCCAGAAACATGCCCAGGCTCTAGATTCCTGGGGTTAAGATACGTGAAGTTAGCACCGTACTTCTATTATCAGTGCGTCTTGTCTGCCCTACTGCCCTGCTAAGCTGATAGACGGAGAGAACAACAACGATAAGCATATTTAAATCCCTCAGTGTACCTTGCCTCTGCGGACTGGGTAGCCACTCGCTGGGCAGGAAAGCATAGACGGAACAGTACTGCGCATGCACTCAGCCCTACAGGTCTACTACGTATCCTCAATCTCTCTGTCGCCGCCCACTTGTCGAGTCATATGGCCACTACCGTGTGTTCACTCTTGCAGGTTGCAGGAAAACCGGACTTTGTAAGACATTGCTGTAATCCGCGAGGCCTAGCTCTTGAAACACGTACCATCCTACATGATGTATCTTCCAGAAACCTTTACATATCCATCATTCAAACCCCCCGGCTATCAAGCTCCCGTGGACCTGATTCTGTGACTACGCTGGCAAGGCTGGCCACGAGAAATGCGCCTGTCGGACCTATATTGCGGAGAGCCTAGGGAGAGCCACCAACTAAATCTTGAGGAATGACGCCCTCCCCGTCGCCGATGGAGTTTTACAATAAAAGGCGAAGCCTAGAGGTTACTCCGAAAAGATCGAGAGGGCTGGAGACCATGCTCGTCTATAAGGGTAAAAGACCGTAGATAGGAAGTCATATTAAGGGGAGGTGTGTTTCTTCATTTCCAATCGCCATGCCGCCATCAAACTCGTGAAAGCAAAAGAAAAAGGTCTTGTCTATCAAATGCGCAAGGCTCAACAGACTGCTCTATTTTGGTACCAGAAAGCCCCGAAATCGAACCTGACAGAAAATTGCGTCCCAAAAAAGCAAAGCACCCGCTATTATAATCAACATATAATTACTTTTTTTTACACAACCTGGCCAAACGCAGGGATCAGCGTCTGAGCCAGCCAGAAGCTGAACACAAGCTTAGGTCCAGTCATCAACAGCTTGGGCGTCAGACCCTTGAAGAAACTGGTGAATCCCTCGTTCTTCATCATGTTGGACACGATCCGGAAACCAGACTCCGGGTTTTCGAAGTTGCGGTTCTGAATACGGGTCTTGATGACGTCCAAAGGAGCAGACACAACCAGAGAAGCACTAGCACCGCAGATGGAAGCCACGAAGTTCTGACCCCATGTGGCAGAGTTGTAGTCCTTCAGCTGGTAGATGTACTCCTTGGCAAAGGCGGAACCACCGAAAAGCTGTTCACACCCAGTCAGCATTTAAGAAACATTCAGAGGAATGGTCACATACAGCAAAAGATCCAGGGGCGTTGCGGGCTGCAGTCCAGCCAGCACCACGGTACAGTCCCATACCCTCATCCTGGATGATCTTGAAGAGGCCGCGGCCGCGGAAGGCCTCGGGGTTAGTTTGACGCTTGATCTTGAGAACGTCGAGGGGCAGAAGAACAATCTCTCCGATACCGATCAAACTGAATTATTGTTAGCGAAGGGCCTCAAGTCAAACAACATCGGACATGCGCACCTTCCAGCTGTCGCGTGCATGATAGCCTTGCCAGTTCCCTTTCCAAAAGCATTGTCGAATTCGGAACCGTAGTGCTTGGCCAGATAGTCGCGAGCGAAGGGCTGGCCACCGTACTTGTAGATACGCTGAAGAACCTTGTAACCGGCGGCGTAACCCAGACCGGGGAAAAGAGAGGTAAACTTGCGGCCAGCGGGGGCGTCGGCAAATTCCTTGAAAATAACCTTGTTCATTGCTTCAGAGGAGGCGATCTGTAGTAGACGATTGTCAGAGAAGTCTTGAGCCGGCCGAAATCAGTTGTAGAGTTGATGTCGTCTTACACGAGTCTGGTTGCTCATCAACCGCTTGGCAATGGTGTCGACCTTCCAGGCGAGTTAGCACAAGGTCTCAACAAGCGCGATCTCGCTTCCATCACAAAAAATATGGGGGCATTCGTACAGGGTGGAAAACCATGAGCTCCGTAATACCAGCCGTTCCTAGCAACAACATCTGGTTAGCAACCGAGTACAAACACCAAACTATTCTCGGAGCTGTATATGAACACCTACCTGAACCCAGGAGACGGGCGGTCGCGGATTCTCTCTTGACATCCTTCGTGGCAGAGCCAGCACCAGCTTGAACAAGGGCGGGAGACATGTTGACTTGGTTGATAAAGATGGCGAAAATCTGAACTGAATTTTTTCTTTTCCTGTTTGGGTGAGTATGAGTCTTATAAAATTGGAAATATAGGGAAAGAGAAGTATGGAACCAGGAGGGAACAACTCACCACCAGAGTCAGAGGGGCGAAACACGACTGGAGCCAGACAATGCAGCGATGAAGGGAAGGGAAAGGGGAAAAAAAAAGGCAGACGCACACCAGCCAAGAGAGAAGGAGAAGGAAGAAGAAGAGAGAGCAACTTTCCCGCAACTTTCTGCGCCGACTCGGAACCACTTCCAGCGGCCGCGGCGGACGGATGAACTCGACTAGACTACTTTAGGCCTGGCACCACCGGCCCTGAATCGGAGCCGCTCTCTTAGGACAATTGAGTCAGCACACGCGGCACCGTGACGGGATTCCGGGACGGACCCGGGCCTCAAATGGCGTTCCCCAGGGCAGTGTAGTAGACTACTCCATATTCATTCCATTTTCATTTTTGGAAAAAAGTGATTGTGGCGGCCCAAGAGAGTGGGTCAGTGTAAACACGCAAGTCACAGTAGCAATAGAAGTGAGGTGTTCCTGCAGCTGGAGATCCTCGGAACCATACAAGTCCGCCCCTTCCAAGCTTAGCGGCACAGTGCTTCAAGTCAAGGTACGATGATTACGAAAATCCCTCGGGTACTTGGCATCTCGGATCGCGCATGATTAAAGTCTCCATTCATTCGATAACAGTTGATCTGAAGTTGGATCCCATTTAGACGATTTCCACATGAAGAAGACAGCTCGAAGACAGCTCGCCAAGAAAAGAGTCAAAGGAAAGGAAGAACATAGATAGCCCCGTAAGAACGCCGACGGAACGATACATCAAAAGCACCAGTGACCAGCGCAGTCGAGCTTGCCCATCTTGCTACGGCCTACAACTGATAGATCCCACGCCCAAGGGATCTCTCAAAAGGCCCACGGCGAAGCGAATTAGCGTTGGCGCGACTTGATTACTTTAAGGTAAAGCAAGACAGAAACGGACAGGTCGACCAGCGCCTAGTAGTCACCGAATGTGTTCTCGCCGGAGTACCTAGCAGCGACAACTAAATCAGCCAAGGTAATTCACCAAGTATGGGCCTAGAGCTTACGTGATGTACAGGAATCCATCCTCATCCTTGTGCTCTTCGTAGATGCTGCTCATGAGCGCTGCTGTTGGCGGAAGGACCTCATCAACGAAAATGAAGATGGCCTTCTCAGGAGACAGCTTAATACGCTTGCGAATCACGTAGACAAACTGTCCAACGGTGAGATCGGCCGGAACAAGGTACTTCTTCTTGTCGATGGTTGCAATATCCGACTTCTCGACCTTTTCGCAGATCACCTGTAGGGTAGAAAAGAGCGTGGTTAGTATCGCGAACAGGCGGTGAGCCGCGGACACACAATGAAACCCCAAAGACGATGATGTTGAGCATGGGCGGACATACCGGAATGCGATCAGCGTACTTCTGACGGATACGCTCGGCCTCAGCCTTACGCTTCTCGAAGGGATGCTCGTCCTTGAACTTGGAACGCATGTTGATAGAGGGTTCGGGGCGGTTAGTTGGGAGCGGGAGCGTTAGACCGATAGAGATCGAAGGGAACCGATAGTTGCTGCGATAAGATGATTCTAGGGTGAAACCGGAATCTGAACTATGATGAAAGCGATGGAAAGAAGCGAAACAGTTGACAAATGGGTGTATGGATAGATGGATGGATGAATGGATGGATGGATAGATGGAGAGAGTTAGATAGATAGATAGACAGAGACGAGGGGGTGGTGGAAAGGAGGATGAACGGTGATGACAAAAGGTCAAGAGAAGGCGGACAGGCAGCCCCGCGTCATGGCAGAGAGCAGTAGGGGCTGCTGATAAGGCCGCCAGGCAAGCGCGGATCACGGGGGCGGAGGCGGTGAATCCGCGCCCCCACACGTCTGGAATTGAGTCAAAGCAAGGTCAGATGTTTTGTGTTTTTGTCCTTGTCCCTTCACGTGGAAAGCAAAGGTTCGTCCAACTGACCCAAGTCGGATGATCGTATCGCTTGGCTGCCATCCTGGGTTCTCCAGCAAATGTGACTTTACTACCCGTACATAGGTGACTGGTCATAGATAATCTACATGGCGGGTGCGTTGCCAACCAGTGCCTCCACTTAGGTCAGTGTCTAGATCCCGAGTCCTTGGTCCCATTTCCGTCCGAGGAATTTTGTCTACAGCCCTGAAGGCCCCGAAGGTGGTTCCTGAGTCACAGCTCCTTCTATTGATTTTGCAGTTAATCCTATATGCTTGGGGATATGCAAAAGATCTTATAAGACCAAAGATTGTGCCAATTCCTGCATAGTACAGTAATGCGATCGACAAAGAAGATACACACACTCTTGGAGGCATGGGAGTCGATTAACACGTGACCTTCACAGACCAAGCATACCGCACAGACAGCACAAACAGCACAAACAGCACAAACAGCACAAACCGCATGCTGCGGGTAACTACAGTGCACTCACGACATGGCGGATTTAAGCAAACCGGCCGCAGGAGGTGGTGGTCCCATACTCTTCCGGAACCTAGCTGAGCCATCGAACCAATTATTATCCCGTGAAAGTTCGCCGCACTTGGTACTTTCTGCTCCAAGCTACTACTTACCTAGTACCCAACTTGAACAATAGCGCGGAGTCTCGGAAGAACGCAAGCACGAATCTGGCACCACCCGATCCTTAAGCAGATCAGCCAATTCTTCAATTGCCCCGTCCGCAATGGCTATGGCTCGGCCATATATGCCTCTGCGGAGGTCCGTTTGTCAGGTCTTCCCTCGAGCCTCTTGCATTCCTCGCGGCGTCTCAGCGCAGTTTCGCAGGCTCCTATCAGAGCAAAAGCCACGCGAATCCAAACCCTTTACTGTGTGGAGGCCATACCTACGACTAGCAATCGGTGTCCCGTTCATCGCGGCCCTCATTTATTCCATGGTACCAACTGCAACTCTTCAGCCCCGCACCGCTGGCCCCAGTTCTGACCTTGCGATCTATATAGATGACAGGTGAAGTAACCGAACTCGACTCGCCGTCAATCGTGGAGCTCGATGAGGCATTGAAGAAACAAGCAACAATCAGCGAGACGTCACCTATGCGTCTGCGGATGGAGAAGTTGATCAAAGAACACCAGCAGAAGATCGTGGAAGAATTGAGCAGGATAGATGGAAAGCAATTCAAGAGCGACGAGTGGACGCGCCCCAATGGAGGCGGTGGCATATCCTGTGTTCTTCAGGATGGGAATGTCTTCGAGAAAGCTGGGGTCAACGTATCGATTGTATACGGCGAGTTACCTCGTCCCGCTATTGAGAAGATGCGAGCTGATCACAAGTCCTTTGTCGGGGCCGATGTGGACTCGCTGAGCTTCTTTGCAGCCGGTCTCTCCTTGGTCCTGCACCCACACAATCCTATGGCTCCGACAGTCCATCTGAACTACCGTTACTTCGAGACGACGGACCCCAAGGACCCAATTAACGGTGATAAGAACTGGTGGTTTGGTGGCGGTACTGATCTGACTCCCACCTACCTTTTCCCTGAGGATGCCAAACACTTCCATCAAACAATTAAGGACGCCTGTGATCGACACGACGCCACATATTACCCCAAGTTCAAAGCCTGGTGCGACAAGTACTTCTATTTACCCCACCGCCGTGAGTGCAGGGGTGTTGGTGGTATCTTCTTTGATGACCTTGACGCCAGTTTCTTGGAGTCTTCGTCCACTTCTTCACAAAATCCGCAGGAGACTCTCTTTTCTTTCGTGTCGGATGGGCTTGCGTCTTTCCTCCCCTCCTATGTGCCCATCATTGAGCGCAGGAAGGATATGCCATTCACCCCAGAACAGAAAGAGTGGCAGCAGCTTCGTCGAGGTCGCTATGTTGAATTCAACCTGGTATACGACCGTGGTACCAGCTTCGGTCTTCGTACACCCAATGCCCGAGTTGAAAGTATCTTAATGAGTCTTCCTCGTACAGCAAGCTGGGCCTACATGGACCCAGTGTCCGGGACTCGCACCGAGGAGCCTGATTCGGAAGAAGCGCTGTTAACTAAAGGCAAGGAGCATGAGAAGGAGATCATGGATGTTCTAAGACATCCTAGACAATGGGTCTAGGAATAACCGGAGTTTTCCCATTTCTCTTTCCTGTACATCAGAGCTGGTCCACCCTTCCTTCTGAACGACAATTTAATTTATGTACGATATCGAGTAAAGTGAGCTCACACATGGTAGCACATAAAGCAATTCGGTAACCCCCTCGGTACCGCAGACGAGATCATGTTGAGCATACAGTGTGGTCATGAGGGTCACGGATTGTCTGCAAAAATTGAGACTGATGATCAAATTTCATTCCCACACGAATGGAATCTATCCACAACGATGGTGTTATGCGGCGCATAATGGGGTAATTCAATGCAAAGGTATAACGAGTAACACGCCCCAAAGATATATAGACACATGGGACACACGGGACGAAACGCGGAGCAAGTTCAACCAAGAGATATGAAAAGGAAAGAGGCGTGGCCGAATATACATACAGAAAGCTCAGCTCTATCGACCAGCGACCACGCTTCTCTGTTTGGCCAGCCAACCCTTTTGTGCATCAGCCAGGGTTCCGTGGCGGTATCTAGACATTGTGACATTGTTGTTCTGCAGTCGACTCTGCAAATCATACCATGAGGAGCTCATAAGCTCAAGCTCCCGAGCTTGAGCCTCAATTGTCTTCTGAAGCTCAAACTGTGCAAATGAAAAGTTAGTGAAGTGACAAAGATGAACACAGAATGAGATCGCGAGTTCACTCTCGGCGCATAGACCCTCACTCACCTCACGCTCTTTGCTGATTCCAGTATCTGTATCATCCTCGAGCTGCCTTATGCGCTCCTGGAGGAACTTGATATGCTCGTTTTGTTGATGAATGTACTACAACGGTCCAGTTAGTCTCTGGAATGAGTAAAAAGAGTTCAGGGGTCAAGCGACTAAGTCGCAGCAGTCGAGAGTCAAGACTTGAACCTTGTGACGAGAAAGCGACTCATATGGTACAGACTTGCAGCCTTTCTAGCCGATAAGACAGGCATATTGCCAAATGGCCGGTCCGTATGGTGATTGAGTTGTTTTCTGCAGCCACTGGAAGGCCCAAATGGGGCAAGCTTCACGCTGGTTCGTCTGACGCAAGCCGACAGCTGTGGAGAAAATGCATAACTGACCTCTGCGCGCTTGGCTAGTCTTTCCAGATTCTTCTCAATCTGTGCGGCAACTTGCCGCGTCAATTCCACGGCGGATTTCTGTGCAGCTTCGGAGTCATCACCGTCCTCCTGTGCCAGTAGTTCAGCAAGCAACTTCTTCATCTCCTCTGCTGCTTCCTGATCCTCTGCGCGGAACTCCGCTTGCTTCTTCTCTAGAAGGCCTCGAAGGTCGTCGCGCTCAGCACAGGTTACCTGCACCAAAGTATGAGTCGAATCAAGCTCAGCTTGAAGATTGTTGAGTTTGCGCGTCACGTCATCCCATGCATCACGCATTTTGCTTAACTCTGTTGCATTGTGTGCTTTGACTTCCGCCATCAAATCAATTCTTTCGTCGCTGGCAAGTTCGACTACACGACTATCAGTACGATCATCTGGGCTCACGAGGCTTCAGCAAATCGAACTCACGCTCTGCCATTGTATCACTCAACGACCGCTTAGTCACATCAAGAGAGTCCTGAGCTTCTGCCAGCCTCTTGAGTGTCGCTGTAAACTGATCGTACAGCTTCCAATACTCATCACTAGGGATCAACATTAGAAACGGAGCTGGCTAATCACAGGCAAACATACCTCTGCGTTGAGTTGGCGCGAGCCTGTTGTAAGGTCTCACTGAATGTTTCAGAGAAGCCTTCGAGTATCTATAAGTTGCCCGTCAATATCCTCGTGGGTAGATTATTAGCTGTGAAGCGACGTACAGATGCTGAAGGTCCCCTTAGTGATTCAACCTCCTTCTTGAGATCCTCGGTTTCAGGTTTACTGTTGACAGCCGTTAGCACATGCCTTGCCAGCAATAAGAGGAATGATTTCCATACAGTTGAGATTCTTTCACACCGATGGCCTCGAAGTCTTTCTGTAGGGTTCCCTCTAATTTCGGAGTCTCTGTCCCCGGCGTCAAGGATGGACTACCGGGAGACCCTTCCAACTCCCGGACTCGTTCTCTCAGCTCGCTGATCAAGGCGTCGTCGCGCTCGCGTTGTTCTTCGGCGTTGCTAAGTCGCTCAGTAAGTGCATGATTGTTGAACTCCAATTGCTTTTTAAGATTCTGAATTTCGCTACACTCCTGCTCTATGCGAGGGAGGACTCTCCTGTACTCCTCAAGCTCTACCTCGCGCTCAGAATTCCATTTTTGCTGTGAATCCGTCTCCTTTAGTTGCTGCTGGAGATCCTTTATTTGATTCCTGAGGGACTGATTCTCCTTCTCAAAGTCCTGACTTGCTTGCAACTTTTGGCGGTACTTCTCGGCTGCATTCGCTTTCCGGGCTAGCTGGTCTCGTTCGGTCTTCAGCTCATCATAGTCATCTTGCAATTTTTGGAAACGCTGATTCTTGACTCGTAGTGATTCGACGGTCATTCGTAGACTGTCAATTTCATCTTGTGCCGTGGCTAGCCTGGCTTCTTGGGTAGCAATTATATCTTCTTGTTGGCGTGACTTGGACTCGAGAGCCTTGGCATTGAGTCCAAGATCTCCTTTACCAGATCGCAAGTTGATAAGCCGATCCTCAGTGGATGCCAAGCGGCTCTGCAAGGTGTCGTTGTTCTCCTGGAGGCGTGCCAATCGGTCATGCATATCGTCAATTTGCTTCTGCATATCCTTTTTCTCCCGAGCCATGCGATTATTCTCCGCCAGTACCTTTCCGACACGCTCCTCGAACTGTAATTCTGGATCGACGGGTGGCTCCCGCTCCTCTTTCATGTCATCCTCGCCGTCAATGGCTTCGTGCTGGCCATTTTGTGCCTCTTCGAAGATGTTCTTAAGGGTCTCTTGCGTTGGGGTGCTTAGCGTCTGCAAGGTCTCGACATAGGTCGGCGCGTTGGGCGAACGAATGGCTCCAATCAATAGCAATTTGAGAAGCTTGTTGGCCTCTTTCTCGGAGTTCTTCTCGGCGACAAGTTCGAGGTTGGGGTTCGGATCTAGACCGGATGGCATGCCATCAGGCTGCTGGCGGATGTAGTTGACAAGCAGTTTGTGGATATGTTTCAAATTCTGCCATTTAGACAGCCAGTGGTCAGACGGGGTTCGTTGGGGAATCTCATCGAGGAAGTACTGCGGGTCGATATCTTGTAGAATCTCCCAGATGATGGTCCCATCGGAGAGCTCCTCTGTTGTGCGGATGGTTTTACCCAAAGCGAAGCTGTTTATCCACTCTAACAGAGCCTGCGTGATTGTATGCTCCGCGGTCATGGCTGCCTGTCAAGCGGATGAGTGGAGTTGTTCAGAGCGTAGAGGGTAACACCGCGACCAAGTAGCTGCTGGGGGCGGAATTATTGAGATGTTTTTGATATGTGTTTCGTGGGGGTGCAGCCGGATGCGAAGAAGGAAGGAACAGGTTAAAGTGACCCCTCATCAACCTAAGAAAACACAGATCCGGACAACGAAGGATGGGACTGAGATCGTCGAGCGATCTTTTTTTCTGGTCGAAGGATGAACTCCGGGGTGTTAAGCCTAAAGGGTTGGAGGGTTGGAGGGTTGGAGGCGCGGGATCCACGCCACGCGCAGGGACAAGATTGAGCTACTATAATTAATTAATCCAGTCCCGCTCGGGGCCACCAAGAAAAGATCCGCTCGATATCAGTAGTTGTATGGAAAGTATATACACTTTATTGCTATGGCGAGCCTCTACTGCGAGATTCCGAAGTGTCTATTTATGTCTCAAGCTCTCTGCGCGAATCACAATTCCATTGTATGTACTGTACGTAATAACTATTCAGGGGGACTTAGCCGCACACCGGGCAAGGAAGACACAAGATCCCAAGATAACTACCTATCATATTCAACGCAAAGACCTGAAGACAGATTCGAATTAAATTCCGGCGCGCCCCCAAAATCCCTCATAGCCATCATTATCATAACATTGTTGTTTTCAGGAAGTAGCCCGCTAATTGCCAACATTGGACAACTCAAACTCCCGAGACCAGCAGGAGGTAAGCCAAGTGACGACGAGCAACCTCAGACCTCCTCCAACTTGAAACAGCACCGGTTCATTTTACTGGATCGAGACCATTTGATCTTGTTCGATTGTGGGTTTGTAAGCTGCGGACTGGGTTGATATCTGCTGGATAGCTTCTTCCGGACAGTCGGCCGAAAAGCCTCTGAAAGCGAAGGTCAGAACAAGCGACGAGGAATAGGTGCAATGAAATTACTTGATCAGAGCTACAAAGATAGAGTATGGTTAGTTCCAAGTCCAATACAAGTGGTAAGAGACAGGGGTGCAGAAGTTCTTACTAAACTCATGTGTAATTTGGCCACCCTACGGGCATAACACAATTAGCAAAGTCGCGCGACAGTGACTTATGACAGGCATTCAGCAGCATACAGCATTCAGAACGGAATCTTTGGCCTGCTGAAGCACCGAATCTGGAGTCCCTGCAGGGAAAGAGACCAGAACCGAATTAGCCAGAGTTAGCGGGACAAGACCGAAGATAGCCGCCGAGATTAGCTGCATTTTGAGACGAGATAATCGGACGGAATGGACACTGAATATAGGACAAAGCAGCTTGAGTAAGTGTGGACTTGTCTTTCTAGTCTTGATGGAAAAAGGCTTGCTATGACTGAAGACTATGGACTGATGAGGTCGAAGCCGGACCGGAGACTGGAGTAGGATGAATTGTAATCTGCCCATTCATGCATGCGTCATTAATGCCGACTTGAACTAGTACCTAAGTGTATTGTCCCGAAGAGGGTTAGAGTTGTATTTAAGATACATAGTATCAATACTGCAGCCTTACTGAGCTGGTATATGTGTTGTTATCATGGCGTAAGATACGAAGTTATTCAAGTCGAGTGATTGCTGACTCAGCCTCCGACCGTCGGTTCAGGTGAGTGCTCTCAGGTCAGCAGTTGCTTCTGCTTCTGCTTTCCATGCCTTGCCCTTTTCCCTCAGTTCCTTTCAAGCTCTTTCAACCCCCTTCCCCCTTCCCC